TGGTGCTGAGAATTGAACCCAGTACCTCACACATGCCAGGCAAGTGTGCCACCGCTGAGCCCCAGTCCCAACCCCTCATTCTGCATGTTTTTTTTTTTTTTAATGTCTATTCAGTTCCTTTGTCCTCTTTTTTCCCCATATGGAGACATGAACCCAGGGCCTTGCATATGCTAGCAAGTACTCAGCCACTGAGCTACACCCTCAGGCCTCTTTGCCCACTTTTTATTATTTTATTTTATTTTAATTTTTATCAGAATATTATAATTATACATAACATTCATTATGCCATATCTATACATAGGCACATAGCATAATTTGATCAAACTTGTTCCCCAGTATAATTTTTCCCATCCCCTCTTCTGTCCCCCTGATCCTCTTTCTCTGCTCTGCTAGTCTCCCTCCTATTATTATCTTTTAAAATTATTATAATAAAAATTGCTTGTGAGGATGTGGGGAAAAGGTACACTTGAGTTATGAGTGACATGTAAAGTCAGGTACACGTATACACTGTTGGTGGGGGCTGCAAATAGTATAATCTCTATGGAAATCAGTATGGAGATTCCACAAAAGAACAGAAATGGAGCTACCATATGACACAGCTATTCTATTCCTTGGTAGTAATCAAAAACAACAGATAATAGAATAATATGATGGTGTATGCATTCCAATGTTTATAGCATTACAATTGGTTTATAGCCAAATTATGGAACCAGCGTAGGTATCCATTATCCAACAAATGGATAAAGAAAATGTGGCATATATACACAATGGAGTTTTACTTAGGCATAAAGAAGAATAAACTGTGTCATTTGCTGGTAAAAGGATGGAACTGAAGAGCATCATGCTAAGGGAAATAAACCAAGCTCTGAAAATCAACGTCAAATATTTGCCCATTTTTAAAATGGGCCAATAGTAGTATTATTTTGCTATTGAGCTGTAGATATTCCTTATCTATTATAGATACCCCTTCTTAAATATGTGGTTTGTCAATATTTTCTCCCATTACATAGGTTGCTTTTTCACTGTGTTGATTGTTTCCTTTGCTGTGCAGTAGTTTCTTAGTTTGATGTAGTCCCTCTTTCTAGTTTTGCTTTTGTTGGGTGTGCTTTTGGTGTCATATAAAAAAATTTTTTTTCAAGTCTAATCTCATAAAGCTTCCCCCTCTCTTCTAAGTGTTTTTCAGTTTCAGGTTTTAAGTTTTTAATACATTTTGAGTTGAGTGTGTGTGTGTGTGTGTGTGTGTGTGTGTGTGTGTGTGGGCGGGGGTGTAAAATAAGGGTCCAGTTTTTTTTTTCTTCAATGTGGAAATCCAGACACTGTTTGTTGAAAGATTGTCCTCCTCCGACTCTGTTTTTGGCTACCTTGTTGAAGATCAGTTGGTCATATATGCTTCGATTTATTTCTGGGCTCTTGTTCTGTTACATTGGTCTATATGTCTGTCTTTGTCAGTACCTKGCTGTTTTGATTACTGTAGCTTTGTAGTATGTTTTGAAATCAGAAAGTGGGATACCCACAGATTTGTTCTTCTTTTTCAAGCTTGCTTTAGTTATTTGGGGTCCATATGAATGTTTGGATTACTTTTTCTATTTCTGTAAAAAATAGTTTTTTATAGAGAGATTGCACTGAATCTGTAGATAACTTTGGTTCCTATAGTCACTTAACGTATTAAGTCTTCCAGTGCATAAATATGGGCTGTCTGATTATTTGTGTTAACAGAATTACTATTAGAACCTGTGAAGTATGCTCATATGCCTGAGAATGGCTTAACAAGCAGGGAGGTAGGGCATGCACCTGATTTTCCTCTGGCTCCTAGGGATACTTTATCCTGGGTATCACAGAAGGATTTAGCCCTATGTGTTTTATAGTAGAAACAACCACAGTTTGATAAAAAGAGCATTCTTCTCTCTGTAGTCATTGAGCYTTGTAAGTTCTGGTTGTGTGAAATGAACTTGAGTGAGTGACTTGAGGATATTCTCAAGTGTCCAAAGATCCTTTTGGTTTTCTTTGACATGGCTTGCTGTCATTTATTCTGCTGTCTAGGGATCATCAACACACTTGTTCTCCAACTTTTCAGTCCATGTGTATTTATTATTGATCAAGGTCCAGCCTCATGCCTGAGCATGGCAACTAGTAGGAGACCTTTTCTTTTCTTTTTTTAACTTAAAGGTGATTAAATTCGTTTAGGGGTGGATAATATAAAACACTTGAATCCCTAAAGGTTTTTGTAATTGACATGAAATTCTGTCAGGTGCCAAGTTTGATTGCATTATTATTCGGTATCCCTGTTGATTTATGAAAATTGGATTAAAACACGTAATCGTCTTTTGTCACAACACAGATCTTTCCTTTATGTAAAGCTCCCAATGGCAGTGGACGATGAAGGGCTCTTCCCTGCSGTTGTGACAGCACTGCGCCCCTACAGTGCACCAACAGAGAACTCAACCCACTAGGGCTGCTCGCAGGACCACTGATGGCCTGTTTTCTGTACTGTCAGGCCCAGCAGAACCCTTCCCTGCTTTGTGACAGCGGCCAGTTACCCACAATTAAGCTTTATCAGAGTGGCCGTAGGAAGGAGTCCAAGGGATTTCCTATTGGGAGTTTGCCTGTGGGACAGGGTATAGCTCCGAGGCCTAGTTTTTAGGTATGCAGYAGCCTCTGACCTGATCCTTTGTCCTAATGAAAAACTTCCTGGCTCCTGGAACTGCTGCTTTYCTTGGAGTAACTCGGATTTAATTATTCTGAATTCAAAAGCAGGCAGATCCTAGAAATGTTTCAGACCCTGGCCTCCCTTGGTTCTTGGTTACATCCCCGTCGCACACAGGGTTCTATTTTGGCACCTGGTGGCCCTCAGGAAAACCTGATAAACTTGAAAGGGTCGTTTCCCGATCCTCAGAGCGGGAGACCGTTTCCTGCCGGCTCGATCCTCGGGATTTAAGAAAGCGAGAGTGCGCTCGCGGGCACAAACAGGAAAGCCTGACATCACGGAGCGGCGCGGGGAGGAGTCTGCTCCTCGCTCGCTCGCTCGCTCGCCTGCTCGCTGCGCTCCCTTTGTGGCCCGAGTCGCGCGCACCGGCGGCGGCGGGGACAGCGAGGCGCGTGCTGTGCGCGGCGGCCGCTCGGGACGGGACCGGGCAGCTGGCGCCGCGGCGGCCTCGGAGCAGGGCGCATCATGCAGCGTACCGGAGAGAAAACTGAGAATGAAATTGCTTTGGCAAGCTAAAATGGTAACGCGAGCTCCCTGCCTTCTCCCGAGGCTTCTCTGGTGGGAATCTTCTGCCGCTTTCTCTGGGCGTGTTCTGGACGCCCTCGCAGCGAACGGAGCAATCCGAGCCCCTACTTGTGAGCTGCCGCTTTCTCGCTCTGCTTTGTATGCATTCCTCCCCCGGCGTCCTCTCCCTTTAAACGGTACCTACTTTCCGGCCGTGGCCTTTGGTGTGTCTGGGACAGTTGCGTGTCCGGAGAGAACTTTGAAGGAAAACTGCTGCTCTGGGCGGACCGCGGAGCGCTCCTGCGTCCCAAGCAGCTCTTTCACCCAAATCTAAGGTTTARCTGGCGACATGGAAATCAGGGGGTCGCTGCATAGATTTTTAGCTCAAGCTGCATGATGATGTGTGGCTCTTTCTGCGCTTGCCAGATTATTTTATGGAAATAAAAACTTTCCACCCCCGCTCACTTTGTGGGTTCCAAAACAATAAGAGAAGAAAAAGACGCGCAGAGCATTTCACTTCCAACGGGGGTGAGGACTCTTGGCATTTTCAACACTTGTTTGTGTCTGAGTTTGCCCAGATGATTGAGCCGCTTGTGAAAGTACAAACTTTTTCTACAAATGAGTTATTTTTCTTTTTACTTAAGGGGGAAACGTTAATTGGGACTAAACCACAGTTTCTCTATGAAGAGGGGAAAAAAAGACTTTTAAAAAACTATTTAAGATATGTAAGCGAGTTTAGGAAAAATAACTAAATGGAAAAGTCGGGGGATCCTGATACCACAGGAAAGGGCAAGGAGCCAAGGAAACCTCAGCATTCCCTGTATCGCAGCGTGTCTTGCAGTGCTCTGATTGTAGTATTTATTTTGAACATCCCATCTTGTGCCTTGAGTGCTGGTGTAAGCAGCACAGCAGCTGGGATAGATTGTGGTTAGCAGAGAGGAAAAAAAATACTCTTTCTTTCTCTTTATCCCATCCCTGGCAGAGCTCGATTCAGGACTGGGGTGAAGAGGTAGAGGAAGGCGCTGTTTACCATGTCACCCTCAAAAGAGTCCAGATTCAACAGGCTGCCAATAAAGGAGCAAGATGGCTAGGGGTGAGTAAAGCTGGAGAGATTGTGAACTTTGGAATTTCGGTGTCTGTTGTTCTGTGAATATCATTATTATTTAGCAGAGGCAGCTTTCCCCCGCCCCCCTAGTCCTCTTTTGGACTTAAAAAGGAAACTGCTAATGACCAAGTGTTTGCACTAGCTTTACAGGCCTGTTTTTGTACTTGATGTTTTCCAAAGCATCTCCCCTGGGTTGGTCAGTAATTCAGAACCTCTTAGAAACATCTTGATGTATTTGGCAAATAGATTGAATTAGAAAATGACACACATTAGAGTGACAGGTCCAGAAGGCAACACTGTTAGACAGGAGCCATAAGCAACCTGGCCCACACAGCACCCTTCTGTCTCTCTCTGCCCTCCACCTATTGATGCTGACAACCTCTACTCCCACAATACCCAGAATGCTCAGGGGACAGACCATTCCAAGTCCACTCCCTTTGAGGGGTGGCAGGTTTTATATTGTAAACTCTTTTCTGTAGCCTGGGAAGAGGCAAATGCATGGGTGTGCCCAGGACTTCTGTAGAAGAAGGAAAGAGGAGGGGCGGGGGCTTTGGAAAACACTGCTTCTGTAGATAAGACTCCTTTCCACTGAGATTCTAAGTATGGGATAGGGTCATGTCAGTTCTTAGCCTAGTGGTTCTTTCAGCTAGTCCCTAATCAAGGGACTGTGGGAAATGGAGAGCCCTGGAACAGGACTGGTACTTGGGCAAACATGAACCCATGATTGGAGGAATTCTGGATCTGGAGCTAGAAGTCGTCTTCAGGAAACTGGGGAGAGGTGACACCAGAAACCTTGGGAGAGGAAAGAATGGAGGCTAAGTAGGGATGTCCTGCCCCTGTCTTGGTTCCGGTCACACTCAGGGGATGGACTTTGGAGTAATGAATATTATACACTTGCATCTCATCTTTACTGACTTTGAGTTCCAGAAAATTCAGCATGTTGAGAGCAGAAAGGTAGAGTGTGATGGGGACAAGAAGCACCACTGCCCAGGGCCTTGAGGCAGCATGTGGCTTGTAAGTCCTGGAGTGGCAGGCAGGAGGGCCAGCAGCCTCGCYTCCTCTGCTGGGCATGTTGCTCTGGCCTCCCGTGGCTGCTTCAGCCCAGGCTTTCCTGCTACTGTACTTGGCTGAGACACCACACACTAGGGCAGTGCACTTAGAGACATCGCAGTTGTGGTTTGGAAAGATAGGAACCTTTCCAGTGGAAATTAGAGGTCTTTACTACCAAGTAGGCACCTTACTCACAAGATGATCTTAGAGCTAATTATGTGCATCACCAGCTGACCTGATAGGAAAAGCAGAACTAGAATTCTGACAAGTCATTACTTTGTTTTTGGTGGTTGTGTATTTGTATTTTATTTTAATGTGGTGTTGAGGTGGTTAGGCCTGTCTGGCTATTTCAGAATGATTCACAAGATCTGAACCAGTTGCTTTCCAAAGGGCCATTACATTTTCTGGTATTGGCTTGTCCCCCTCTTTCTAATGGGACTGATGTTGATTGGGCAACAGCTTTAGTTTTTGGTCAAATATAATAGCAATGGATGTCACAGGAAAATGGAGAGGTCCATTCTGTAGTTCCCCCCTGCCCCAGAATGTCATTCTTCTAGGTGTGCACACTTCTGACTCTTCTGTTCTGGACTCCACTGCTCTCTTCTCCCTGCTCTCTTGGTGCTCTCAAATGTCTGGAGTCCCGAGGTGGCTGACCCTGGACTTAGCAGTAGACCTGAAACACTGAGGAGGAGGATAATGGGAAAAGACTGGTTCTGGTTGAAGGAGGACCCTTCCCCCTTCCCCCTGTTTCAACAAAGTGTGACTTACTGCTACCACCCTACTCAAGAGCCTGTTCTTAGAACTTCCCACCCCAGTAACACTTGTTTTCTTCTTTAGGTGTTCTATGGGGAAGCTCTGTTTTGGTCCTTGAAAATTCCAGACTTAATTAAATGTGACTCAACTAATTGAGCCATAGCAATTACAAAATCTTTCTTTTTAGGACAGAGTGGCTTCACCATGTTTGTTTTCCTACATACCAATAACCTTAGAATTCTTCAAAGTACCTAGTTGTAGCAATAACTAAAGATTGAGGTTAGGTGAGGAAATCATTGAAATATGAAAATAATCCTATTTTCAAAGGAAAATGAGGAAGTGGTATTATGATTACCTGTTTTGTTTACACATAAGAAAACTAATGCCTAGAGAGTTAAATTGCTTGCCAGGGTCACATAGCCAGGAAGGGGTAGAGGCTGGATTTGAATCCAGATGGTTAGTTGTTTGCTGTCAAGAGCTACCTGGAACCTTAAGKCTGTTTCCTTGTTAGTAGAAGAACTGGCTCAAGAGCAAGGAGGCTCACTGTGGGCTTTTCCCTGAGGATGCACCTGGGGCAGGCTTGAGAGATAGGGCTTTCTGTTCCTCTTTATGCTTTGAATGATAACTTGAGCTGCAAACTGAAAGAGGTATTGTGAAGGTGTGCTGTGTTGATAAGTTCTCCATTTTGGATGTGTGAAGCACAGTGCCCTGAAGACATTGATGAGAACGTGCGTGTAGGCACTGCCTCCGTGTGTGTCTGTGATACTGCTCAAAAGCCTAAAAGGTGGAGCGTGATTTTGTATTTTCCAAATCTAAGACCTCTAAACATGGTCAAGGTTCAGTTCTGAAAATTACAGCAAAATTATTAACCATTGTCAGATGTAGAGTCTCATATAGTCCAAAATGTTTAGATCATTCTTTTAAAATTTGTTTCTTAAATGTTGTGTTTATTGATCTTTTGAAGTAAGACAGTGTATCTTTGGTTGTAAAACATACCAACTAATGGGGTGCAGGCCCTGTTTGTTCATGCAGTGCAGGCTTGTCCATCACACTGGGGTTGTGTTGCCAATTTTGGAAAATGATAAGTATTATTGAAACACTGAATCGTTTTTCCATTATTTCGCATCTTAGGCTGAGATAATTTTACCCACCGATAACTCTTCTAGAAGAATGGCTCCAGCTATGACATCTAGCCAGACCATCTCAGGGTTGGAAGGGACATTTAAAACATGTTTTTATCCAAACATTCCCTGAGCCTGTGGAGTATGCTGTGAGTTCTAGAAGGGCAAATGGTCAGACTTGTTGTTTGTCCTTGGTCCTAGCATTGTGGTTGTACATTGACTCTGATATGTTGAAATGAGTTAAGAAAATATCCGTAGTCTCTGGAAGCAGGAAATGGCCCATTATAGGGAGAATACTCAAAGGGACAGAAGAAAAGAATCCAGGGAAGGGGCTTTGGTGTCTTAGCATAGGCAAACTCTAGAGTCCAGAAAAATGTGTCAAACCCAAGATAGTTCAACATGGGGGTATTGTTTCACAAGCAGGATTGAGAGTGCAAGGTCAACTTGGCAAGGTTTGTGGGGAGTGGAGGGGTCAGTGGATAGTCACGTGCCTTTCCTCAGTTCTGAGCTTCTGTGGTCATGAGGTCGTTGTGGGGCCCGGTGCCTCCTTCCTTGCATCCATGTTTATCACACTGTTTCCCACACAGACTCTTGATAAATGTTGGGCTGAGCTGAAAYGCTTGATAGCTAGGAGGTTGGTAAAGATAGTAAAATAGTAAAGAAGAACGCAGAATATAGAAATAAAAGGAACTGGAAATCTCACGTAACACCTCACGTTTGGGTGAATCGTAGCCAGCCTGGGGTCTGGGAGTGCAGTGTAACCCTCTGTAGCATCTGGGCTGAGAAATTGACTTGAGGGKATATGTGATTTGGATCCGCTCTACTTGGTATTTGGGTGGTGTTACTAGGCATGTTGCCTTAATATGGTGTACAGTTCCTTGAATTCTCAGGTAACTTCGCTTCTGGGAACCCTCTCGGATCCTCCAGGTCTGTGTGGGCTGTCCTTCCTGTATCTCCTGTTAGGCTACCTCACTCTGTTGTACTTGTCTGTGTGTTTGTATCCCCGACTAGACTGGAAAGCTCACAACCATAGCCATTCTATTGGCAGAAACTCAGCAAATGCTTGTTGAATGAATGGACCTAGCATCATCCTTCTTTGGACAACTAGTATTGTCATGATAAATATGAACATGCGGCAGCTTCTCATTTAAAACAAAATCAGCATGAACATGTTAGCTTATAAAGAGAAGGAGAGGGGCACGTGAGTGAGAAAAAATCAGTCAGGCAATGATTATAGCTGTCTTAACATCCTTCCTGGAACAAAGCGGGCGCAAACAAAGGTAGCGATTATTTTAACAAAACTTCCTCAGTGCTTTTTAAAGCCAGGAGATCCAATTGTACTTGTCTTAKTACTGAATGCTAAAGAAATAAAGGCAGTGCATGAGTTAAAAAGTGTTTGGCAACATTACAGTTGCATGTGGTTGGAAGTGCAGGAGTGGGATTTGAGAATCCTAAGGAGCTAAGCCCTGGAGGAGCCTCTGGTTTACAGTTGGTCCTCCTCGTTTTCATCCTGGAGAACAGGCCCTCGGGTTACGTTGTTCATGTCTGTTGGAATGTTTAATTTAGGCTTTAGAAAGTAAATTTCAAAATTTAGTAACCATTAGTAAATGAGCCAACTGGTATTTTTCATTTTGATCTTGGAAACATGTTTCTAAAAGAATTAATCCAATAATATGGTGGCCTATTCCTATCAAGACAGTAAATTTGAATTGCCTGTGATATTGTTATTGGATCGATGTTCTTTACTGCTTTCAAAGTCTGTTGGGATCTATGTCAGAAATATGAGGCATGTAATTAAGAATATCGACTTCAGTTCACCAGTCCAGGGGGTACTGCATGGAGTTTCCAATACATGTCTACCCCTCGCCAACAGCAACAGCATTGACATTCAAGGCACATTCACCCTTTATACTTAAAAGTATGCATTCTTTTAAATTAATATTGTGAACATATTTCATTCTTATTTCTATGAAATCATAAACAAAAAGCCCGTGGAGTTATAAATTAAGACAGACAAGGAGAGCAGTAAGATATTGTGCTTTTCTGTTTTAGCACTTAGTTGGA